CAAACATTAAAATATATAGATATTTAGAATTTATTTTCTTATAATGATTTAGGCACTGGTAGGCTTTCAGGTTGCTTTAAAATTGTAAATATATCAATAAAACACTGTGTTCAACTAATATGTATGCATATACATATACGTGTATGGTGGCATTCCATTTTAGTCATGGAAAAATGTGGATCTTAGGGGCTTTAATTGGAGAATTTTCAATTTATAAATGGAGAAAGCCAGGATCCCTGATAACAGTTGGGCCATTAGACAAACCTTGACAGCTGAGCTTTCAACTTCTGATGTTCATGGTGCTATGTTGGTTAGGAATGCACTGTGTATGTCGTCTTAAAAAAACAGAGTCCCAGAAGGGCCTAATCAGTAGCTCTCTATTTAGTATAATAGGTGTGTGGTATAAATGCTTCACTGTACTAGAATATAAAGTATTGCATGCCAGTTTGACAGGGTTTTTTTCCCCCTTGCTGTTCCAGCATTGCTAAAACTGAGTTACACACAGACATAAAAGAGAAATATTTAAAAATATTTAGCATATCTGCAGGTAAAAGAAAGGAGTATATTGATTGTTTTTGGGTGCTGCATTTACTTTTTCTTGGAGTGTTTTGTGTTTTTTGTTTGGTTTTCTTTTTGTTGTACATTGAGTTTGAAGCTCTCTGTTTTGAAGTGTATTTGTGGCCTGTGGAGCAGGTACAGCCACAGTGCCTGTAGGTGTCACTGGCTTAGGAGTGAGTGGGGTCAGGGCTCAGAAAGGGCTGAAGGCCATGAAGGACCATAGCTGGAGACTGATGGGGCTGGAGAGTCCATGCATCTCAACTGGTTTAGGAGCAGGGCCATGGTCTAAGGCAGGGGCAGGCAATTATTTTGGGCGGAGGGCTTCTTACTGAGTTTTGGCAAGCCCTTGAGGGCTGCATGACAGGTAGCCCAGGGCAGATAAATCTTAATTTTCTAAATTTTTTAGGGGCCCCATGAGCCGGATAGAATGGCCTGGTGGGCTACATCTGGCCCGCGGGCCATGTTTTGCCCACCCCTGGTCTAAGGAGAAGGCTTGGAGGGCCACAGCTGGAGACCAAGGGGGCCAGAGTACATATAGCCCAGAGGGGCCGGTGTAAGGACAAACAGAGCTAGAAGCCCATAGCTCATAGGGGTGGTTATGATTTGATTCGTATATGTGACATCTGCAAGGCATGGGTACTGGGGAGGATGGAGCCCATGTAATTAGCTCTTAAGGCAGTGAGCAATGATGCTGGCACTCATGAGGAGATCTGACTTGGGAAGCCCTGGGGTAGCTTCCTTTTTTTGAAAATCATTTCATCAAGGTGTGGCAGCCAAGGAGAAGCGGAGAGTGTCCAAAGAGTGAGGTTGACAGGGCCTAAGTGGGGGGAACCCAGGGGCATCATGGCCACCCCTGGAGGGGGACCCTGTTACAAAAATACGTGTGTGTGTGTGTGTGTGTGTGTGTGTGTGTGTGTGTGTAATAGGGCCCCTCTTTCATTTCAAATGAAACTTCAATTTGATGTTTTACAAATTTAAATGAGCTAGCGGAGGTTTTATTCTGGGTTATGCCATTGTGTGTATCCTCTCTTAGTGAACTTCAAATGCTTATATAAAACTTTGTTTGAATCTTAGCTACGTCATCGAGCATAGACAGAAGTGCTCCACTTGAAATTGGCCTTCAGCGATCCACACAAGGTATGGTTTTAAATACTAAATAGCCTTGGCGTAAACTTTTATGAAAGTCTTTCAGTATCCTACATATTTAATTACCTATTTTTCTTGTAGTTAAAAGAGCAGCTGATGAAATATTAGCAGAAGCAAAGAAACCAAGAATAGAGGTAATGAAAGTAATTTGTCCATCTGTGGGATAGTTATATTTTCTGTATCTGTTGATATTAGTAATTCAAAAGTAGTCTTTCCTCTAGGTAACTTCACAACATCAGTATAATTGGAAGTTTGTGGTCTGATGCTTAGTGAGAATTTCAGCCTTTGCTTTGGATTTCAGTGTCAAAGTCTGTGGTTTGGCATTCTAATATCTATGTGAGAGGAGAAATAATGCTGTATGCACCCTTGATCATGCACATCTGGTCTGCTTAGATTGGAAATCTGGTGCTGCAAGATTGGAATCCAAATAGTATTTATGGGAAACTAGGAGAGAGTAGAGTTGAACATAGTCCATTTCTAACATCTACCCACTATAACTTTTTTTTCCCATTCATTATTTTGGAGTATTAAATTAAATGTCAGTCATCCATAAATTGATCTTCCTTGTGCTTGGTTTACCTGCTGTTCTACTCTCTTGGAAACAATATATGGGATTTCAGTTCCCATGACTACGTTGGTCTGAGGCTCAAGTATACCATTAAATTAATTGCTAAAATAGAATATATTCCTTTCAACCTGTTAGTTGGTAGTTGCCATGGTTGTGATTCTATGACAAGAACTGACTTTTTTCCCGTCATGTCCTTGTCATTACAATGTTTGCTATACATATGTCACTGTAGTAGAATCTCAACATTTACTTAAGAAACTAGTCCTTGCATATACGCACATTCCCTTCATTTGCAGAATTTCATAGTGGCATCATTTGTACAGTAAGGGCAATAGAATCTGTAGAAAGTTTGCAAAGACTTTACTCCTCTGGTACAAAGGCAGATAGCAGCTGTGGGCTGGTTTACAAGTTCCCTCCTACAGTACTCTGAATAGTTGTGATTCTGCTATGCTTCACTGAACTTGCAGATCTTATATGCACCTCTTCGGGTCAGGATCTGGAGAATTACTAGAGGTTGTTGTGAATGGCCATGAAAGATGTCTTGAGCAATCACAGTACAGAAGGGTGAGGCCATAGGGCTCATACACACAGTTTTTCACGCTGCAACACACTGGAGATCTGGCATGTCAGAGCAGACTTGATTAATAGAGTCTGCTTCGCATGCCAGCTGAAGCACACTGTGCTGCATCACTTGCAGTTGTATGTGTGGCAAAATAGACAACAGTGTGCAGAAAATGGCAGTGGTGGGCTTTTGAACTAATGTGTTTTATTTCAGAAGTGAACTGCTGCCATTTTTTGCTCGCTGATGCACATTTTGCCGCTTGCATAATTATATTCATCACAGCGCCGGGCACTTTTCAAAGCGTCTGGTCCTGCAGCATATGCATATGTAAAAATGCCCAGAAACTCCAGTAGAACCTGTTCAATCAGCTATCCAGGTATTCGGTCTGTGTAGGCTTACCTACACAGTGGAATGTGGCTGGCTTTACCTGACTCAGTTATCACTAACTGCTTAAATGGATTCTTAAGGCTGTAGGCAGCTAGACGCATCTTTGAACAAATTTGAAATTGTTTTGCTGGGGGCCTAGCTGACCTCAACTTGTTCTGTCCTGTCCCCATGACCAAGGTCTGTGACAAAATGGCATAAATCCACCTATACTGTCTCCTTTTACTACAGACCCCCAGCCAAGTTCAGTCAGTCAGAGGATTTAGCTTTGTTGTTGGTCAACTTAAAATTAACACTGCCACCTTTTTGAAAGGTGACCTGTACCTTTTTTTTTTTTTTTGGTTCGTTTTGTTTTGGTAACTGAACTACCCAGTACAGTTTTCAGGAGTGAATTTTCAGTAATCTCTTGATCAGCCCCAATATTAGAATACAAAAGGGATTATTTAGTCTCAGAAGGCTGAATTTAGCTGTTTCTGTAAACTTAAATCTTATTTGCTTTATTGCAGAGAAGAGAAATTCTACAGAAGTTGCTTTGTTAATAAATATTACTGTTGCTATTAGGATGAAGAGTGTGTGCGTCTTGACAAGGAGCGATTGGCAGCTCGGTTGGAGGGGCATAAAGAAGGTATTGTGCAGACAGAGCAGATTAGGTAAGAACATATTGCATTCATGGGGTAATTGTTAACTTAAGTGATTCTGGGTGTTTTTGTGTGAAGCAGAAGGTAATCAAGATACAAAAATCCCTTTTTTCCCCTAAGCTACTTTAGACTAAGGCTTCGAAAAGTTTGGAACTACAGTTGGGGCAACCCTAGTTAGTGGACCAAAATTTGTATAATTGTCTGTTTAATTACTACCAGAGGAGGTCAGAATTGCACATTTAAGTATGTTCTGTTTTTTTTTAATAAAAAACAGGCTAGAGAATGGGCTTAGTAAGGCTGTGGACTCAAACTAAGTAGTCTTCCCCAGACTTCTTGCATGAAAGTCGCTTAATTCCTTTCTCAATACCCATCTCTGCAATGTGGATAACCCTTTCTATTCTGGTGGTATGTAAATAAGCTAACGTGTTTGAGAGGTACTTGGATACTGCGGAGAGTGCCATACTGAGCACCACCCAAAGTAGATTAAGCAGTTTCTTTTAGGGGAAAAATGCAGTTTTCCTATGAAATATAACTGTCTTCCAAAGAGTAAACAGTGTGGTAAAGACCCTGACTGTCATAATGCCAGCTGTGATATACCACTGTCTGGGTGGCCTCAGAGCCTGCAGCCTTTCCTTGGCTGTTGTTTGGGAAACAGATTAGATTTTGCACCTAGAATAATTTTTATTTGTTGGTGACATTATCAGCCACATCAGCCAAAAAAAGCTGATTACCAATAATGTCAATTTTCCTTTTATTGGTGTCAATACGACATGGGCCGATGTATTGGTGCACCTCTAGTATAGGGTGTTTGCACCTAGTTTACAAAATAAAGGGGCCTGCCATTTCTGAAAAAATGGCATTCTTGTAGTTGTCATAAGCCATGAATTTGGCTGCCGGACCAGGGTTAAGCTAGTCTTGGCAATGAGACCTGACAGCATCTTTTGGCAGGAGCATCCTGCCAGGACCCCCCTGCTCCCCCCATTCCTGCACCTCCATTTACTAAGCACCCTGGGCTTGTCTGCCACAGTACCACTTATGGAATGTGTGCTGCAAATTTAGAATAATAGAAAATTAGGGTTGGAAAGGACCTCAGGAGATCATAATCCAAACCCTTGCTCAAAGCAGGACCATCCCCAACTAAATCATCCCAGACAAGGCTTTATCTCTTTGGGTCTTAAAAACCTCTAAGGAGGGGGATTTCAACACCTGAGTAGCCTGTTCCAGGGTTTTACTTCCTGCCTACTGAGAAAGTTAACCTAATATTTAGCCCAAACTTTCCTTGCTCCAGCCTGAAACTGCTGCTCCTTTGTTTTTTCATCTGCTACCACTGAGAACAGTCTAGCTCCCTCCTCTTTGTAGCTACCCTTCAGGTAATCGAAGGCTACTATATTGAAGGTCCTCCTCAGTCTTCTCTTCTCAAGACTAAATGCATCCAATTTCCTCAGCCTCTCCTTAGAAGTCATATGTGCCAGCCTCCTAACAATTTGCATTGCCCTCCACTGGACTCTCCAATTTGTCCACATATTTTCTGTAGTGGGGGGCCCAAAACTGGACTCAGTACTCCAGATGCGGTGTCAGAAGTGCTGAATAAAGAGGAATAATCATTTCCCTCAATTTGCTGGTAATAGGCTAATGCAGCCTGATATGCTGTTAAGCCTTCTTCACAATGAGGGCTTCCCAGGCTCATATTCAGCTTGACTGCCCACTGAACCCCCACCCCCCTGTCTTCTGCAGAGCTGCTGCTTTGCCAGTCAGTCCTCAGCCTGTCTTAAGCGCAGGACTTTTTTGCACTTGTCCTTATTGAACTTCATGAGATTTAATTTGAGCCAGTCTTTCAATGTGTCTAAGTCATTCTGAATTGTAGCCTTACACTCCAATGTATCTAC